TGCCATACTCTGTAACTGAATGGTTATTGTGTGGAACTCACTCAGCAGGTTGCTTCAATGATCAACCACCCCAGTGGCTTGGAACTGGGGAGTGATAAGGACTCACATACTCTACTCAAAGAAAGAAGGGTGACAATGCAATACATGAAGTAGTGCAACGGGTGATCACAAAACTTTATTTTGAAAAGCAGACCATACCGAGTTATTCACTCCAGGCGTGGATAGCAATCTCCCTCTGCTTTACCCATGCACTGGGACGAGCATGTTTATGAAGCAAAATATCACAAGGTCATGCACCTAAAGGGTTTTTGACAAAACCCCTTCTCAATGGTTAGTGTGCAAAAACCATGGAAAATAAAGTGGGAGTCAACATGGATGAATAGTGCAGATTTTGAGTTAAAGAATACCTGGTCAGGCACCACTCACCACAGAGCAGGATCCATGGGATAAAGATATAGAGAAAGGCCCCTGAAAAGAAAGGAAAAATATGAATAAAACTTACCAGTTAGAGTCGTACTGTACCCCTAACAACGGCTATAGGTGGTGGATGAAACCCCACCAAAGAGGAAACTGTGATATGATGGAGATAGTGGGAGATGAACATACTGGGTGTTGTCCACGTGCTGGACTACAGAATCTCCTCCATTGAATGACAAAGACAAGAAGCAAGGGGAAAAGTGAGGTGTCAGATCTGATGGTAGGACATCTGGAAGAAGGTAGGGAGGAATAGGCTAATCGAACCAATAGATGGACCCAATTGGTAAGGTTAGAAGGTGAAAGATCACAAAGGGAGGAGGACTGCCAGGGGATAAAGAGGTGGGAATGTGTACCCCAGAAGGAAGCAGTATGGTCAATATAACAACAAAGAGCCCTGACCAGGCACAAAAGCCTATCTGGATCCAGGTCGGGAGTAAAGAGGTCTTTGGAAGAAAGGAATGATATGGATAAAGGATAAGATAGGTAGGGTGATAAAGGGTATATGAAACGTCAATGGCAAACAAATCAAACCATCGACATCTACAGGCTAAGAGAAGAAGGAAATATGTTTTAAGGGAAAGATGAAACATGGAACATGAGGAAAGTGGTTGAAATAGAGATAAAGTAAGGGAATGGAGTAGGTCACCATAACTAGAAGGAATGCATGAGCATGGTAAGGACAGAAGAAGTAAAAACTCTATAGTATCGGAAAAAGTATGGGATAGGGCCTCCCGATATTCAGAAAGCAAGGAGACCAAAGACCCATGGTTAAAGAGTCAGGTGAGTAAGCAGGCCAGCATTGTTACACCTTTATGGAAGACGGACAGATGGAACCAGCTAACAAGGAAGCAACTCAACATATGAAACCAGATCTTCTCACCAAGGACCGGACAAAAGCCAGGTGTGAAGGATGGGATGTAGGACATGTGACCAAGATTGATGAAGAAGGTATAGAGAAAGTGGAAGAAAGACAGAAGGGAAGAGGAGCATAGCTGTAACTGTGGAAACCAAGGCTGAGCTGGCCAATAAAGAGGACCTAACAAGGAGTGGAGTGGGTGAGAGAAATTACTCAATGAAGTAATCAGATGGGTGGGTACACACAAAGATATGTCCAATCCTGGCTGAATGCATCAACTGCCAGAGCCTAGGGATGAGGTACAGGTGACAAAAAGAGAGGTAAATTGTTGTTGAGGCCCATAGCAAAGGCATCCACGTGGGAAGAACCCCACCAATGGTAATGATCCCTGAAACTGAGGGGATCTACTGACTACTCTGTGGGATATATCCAGTCGGGGCACGAAAGACAATCAGCGACCAGATTGAAAGCACCCAACACATTACACACAATAAGATGAATGTGATGTGTGTGGGCCCAATATAGGAGATTCGATTTCCAAAAACAGAGATCTCTGAACTGGGTGACCCTTTGGTGGTTGATTTGTGCCACCACCAAAGAATTGTCTGAATAAACCATCACCAGACAATGTCAGGTAAGAAGAAAGAAGTGATGCAATGCCTGAGGTAGGAACTAGAAGTTCGAGAACATTGATTAGCAGACCAATGGCCCAAAGCCTCCTTGTGATTGACAAATGGCCCCAATCCCTAAAGGGATGCATCCGTGAAAAGATGTAGAACTGGACATGGAGGAAGAAACAGCACGCCCACTGACATAAGGGCTTTTGACCAACCACCAAAGTAGATTGTCTTGCAGGGAAAAAGGAAGGGTAATGGGGGTAGAAAGAGTCTCCTGAACAAGGTTCTATCGATTGTGAAGTGCCCACTGAAGGAATCTCATGTGGGCACGACCGAGGGGGAACAGTAATGTCATTGATGACCACATCCCCAAACGTGATAGAAACTTGTGAGCCGTAAGTGGCTGAGCCGATAGGGCATGGTGAACCAACAATTCCATTTAATGAAATCGTAAAGGAGAAGGCTGGGCCCGACTGACATGAGTGTTGAAAAGGACCCCCAAATGGATAAGATATTGAGTGGGTCTGAGGAACAACTTCTCCAGTTGAGTCAACCAGCCCACAAGAATCTCCGAGTATGATTGGCCGATTCCTGTTTGGAATGAGCCTGAAAAAGCCAGTCGTCCATGTAATAATGAAATCTCAGCCCCAGAATAAGGAGATGTCAAGCAAAAGCTCAAACTACTCGGCAAAATACGTAAGGTGTTGAGGCAAGTCCAAAGGGGAGGGCCCAAATTTGATAAACCACCCTTAGATGGACAAACCAATGATAAGAATGAGACTGAGGTGATACTGATATATGTAGGTAAGCACTGGAGACATCCATTTTGGTCATCCACAATACGGTAGAAAATGTCCATTTCAAGGTGAGAAAAGATCTATGGTGAACCGGGTTGTGAAATAAAGCAGATGAGGTGAGATAAATCAATTACTGGCTGCTAATCCACAATTTTCTTTGGGACAATGAAAAGGCAGGAATAAAAACCCCAGTTTGGATGTGGAACAGGTTCGGTGGCCTGCTGCAAGAGCAATTCCTGAACAGTCTCTGACAGATGCTGGCTGGTCATAGGATCTCCGGGAGGAGGGAAGGAAACAGGGTAAGGAGAGATGGGAAGTGGGGAAAGAAACTGAACAACAAATCCTATGGACAGAACTTGAAGCAACCATTGATTGTCGATGAAGGAATGCCAGTGATGAAGAAACTCGAACAGCTAAGAGCCCTCCGAACCCACTGGGTACTGGTGGTGATGGGGTGGGTGGGTGTTGAGGAAAGCGATAAGAAGAAGAGACAGGTAAGGGCTGTGAAGGGGAAGGATGGGAAAGGGTAATTGGAGGCATATGAGGCTCTGACTGAGACAAACAGGCTACAATATTCGTAAGGGTGGATCGTTGTTGGACTGATGTCACCCAAGTCTCTAGAGTTTCCAGGACCATATCAAAATTGTAATGCCACAGAAATGGGGCCATCCATAAATCCCTAAGATATGTCGAGGATAAACGGACCCAAACCAATATGGCATCACAACCTGTAAGGTCTCAACAACAAAGAAACCATTTATGTAATGCTGAAGATGACATGCAAGCTAAAGTGGGAAGAGAAGGGCAAGGGTATCTCCAGAAAACTCCTCAAGACTTCTGTATAGAGCCTCAGATAGGAGGTGTATGGAAGAAAGATACTGTAATAGATTTGTAAGGGTAAGATGCAAGGGAGAATATTGGGCATGAGTAAGACTGACAGAAGATTCTGGAGATACCCCCCAAATGGGCAATAAGGAACCTAACAACTGCTGGTCTAAAAATGGATAATCAGCACGATGGTAGGAAAGTGTGAACTGATCTGAAGTTCGAGAGGAGTGAGGCATGCTAATCCCCTCAATTGCGAGGCAAAGTGATCAGCATGAGCGTGAATATCCAGTGAGGAAGGAAAAACCAAAAAGGGTTGGGAAGACTGTTCATGCAATAAGGAAGGATGAGGTGCATAAGAAATAGGGAAAGGGATAAAAACGTCTCAAACCTGAGACAAAAAATCCATAAAAATTGCATTAGGCCTAGCAGACTCATTGGGTTGTGAATTGGAAGGAAAGACAAAATCTGGAAATGGAAAAAGATGATTGAAGTCCTCATCAGCCTGCACAAGATCAGCCTGGGCAATTTCTGGGGACAAAGGTTGTCCCATGTAATGTTCGATCTCCCAGCATATAAAAGCAAATAAATCCACCATCACGTCACCCCCACCTGAGGCCTGAGAAAAAACACTGGTTTCTGGTATAAACACCAAAGTGGTAACGTTAACTTCAGAATTCATTGCACAGAAAGGTACAAGTGCAGAAATAAAGCGACTAGAATTAACTGATAAATACTAATAGAAGAAACAGGTTGAATGAAAGCAAACTGATGAGAAAATAAAGTCGAATGTGAAGCATTAAACAAACAAAAGAGCACGTCCAAACACAAGTGCTGCTAAACGAGAAGTGATAGTTTGATAGACGAGTGCAAAGGGATTCACATGCATCACGTGAGCATGTCATGCTCCTATTGGTGAGCAGGTGATGCATGATGATTTGCATGAGAGACATGTTGGAATCTTGCAATTCCAATAAGGGGGAGGAGGAGTGGAAGGCTTGTGGCATGTGTAAAGAAAAGTTTGCATATAGAGGGCAGTACTGAAAGAGTGGAGGTAAGTACTGTATTGGAATACATACTTTTGAAATTATAAAATTATATTATTCAAATTTGATTTATTGACTACATTTTCATGCCAAGTTTATTTACATACACTGATAATAGTGTCATTAAATTTTGAATGCAACTTTGTGAAAAGGTTATGGCATGCACACTATTACTTACCTCTATACAGAAGAGTAACCTGAAATATTATTCAAAGAAAAAGTTATTCAGAGTGATGGTGAGTATCAAAAGTATGGTGAATTAATTGAAAAATAATGATATAGAACAGAAATAAGTTGTAACTCAGTAGAACCTGAACTGAGTTATTAAAAAGGTATTTTCTTTTGCTCTATAAAACATGTTTTAAGCAATACTTGTTATTACCTGGGTATTGGAGTCTAACCTCTGGTCAGGCCCCTCTTCCTGTAGCCTCTCATAGAAATCCAAAAGTGTGTGAGAACCTAAGTTAATTGTCGTTATGGTTGGGTAGAATAGAGGACCATCTTCATGTGGCTTAAAAAAATCAGGTCAAATCTGATTCAACACAAATGAAAAATATGAATGATAAAGGTTTATTTAATAATAGTTATTATTTGTGACAAATAAGCAAATCGACAAATACAGATTAAAAAAAATTAAATTATAAAAGTATTTATCAATAAGGCTGGATACTTTATCACAAAGGACACATCAAGCGTATCTACATTTGACTTAAGAGAAAGTCTATTTGTCTTGTTAATTCAGTAAAGTTTTAAAAACTTTGGGTATTGTATACACTAAACATGGCAAAAATGGTCAGAGAACTGATCAACATATAAAATTTAAAGTACCTACTCTAAGGTTTGTTTATGATGCATGTATTTAAGTCTGATATTGAGAAAGATTTAGTATAGAAGTTACTTTTAGATTCATTTATTAATAACTTTACAAAATGAATTATTCCCCAAAAATTCACTATTGTGATTTGGTAAGTGAATTTAGATTATACTTGAATATGCTAATTAGATATGGATCTATATTTCTCCCTTTCACTGTTTCCCAGTAGAATGTGATAGAAGGTAATTTTATTATATATTAATTTACTGATGCACTTTTAGCTATTACTTACCATAATTCCCTGTCCAGATAAATATTCATTGACAAGCACATGGTTTGCTGTCTTGTCACCAAATACACCTAATGAATTGATTTTTGCGATATAAATTTCCAACCACTGAAATGATATTAAAATAAATCAAATTAAGTATTTAAAAAATTCCACAATGAATAAAAAAATTGTACTTAGAAGAAAACTCAGCCACAGCTTGTAAATACACTGCTCTTTTAATCCTGCCATTACTGATGAGATCTATATGGATCACACTGACATTACAAACACAAACACATTTCACTAAACTACAGGATGATTATAAAGAAAGCATCACAGTTCAGTGCATCATATCTCACAAATGTTATGGCATAAGGAAGGTGAAATTGCACATGGGTGTTAAGGTTATCATGCAGATGCAAATGTCATAGTTGTCACATGCTGTCACTAGGGGTGCCACTTTGATTTTATTTCACATATTTCCAATGAGAATAAATGGGCTTGTTCATCATGCAGAGGGCCTTGTTCCAGTGTTGCTATGTATAAGTTTATAAACAAATATGAAAAGAGAGATTGTACTTGTGATAAGCTACATATAGGCAGACCACTGACACCTAGTGAAACTATTGCTGAGGTCAACCATAGTAGAATATGTCAGCCCAAGTGCATATGGGTGAAGCAGTGCATGTTATGTCACCCAGCATCTGAATTTGCCAATTGCAATTGTTCATAAGGCTCTTCGGTCAACCTGACATATTGATTTGCATTGTAGTTCTTAGCAAGACTGGAAGTTGATGACCAATAATCTAGCAATACCTTATGAACTGATAAAAGTACATTCACCCTTTCTGGAAGTGTCAACATGAATAACTGCATTACCCTTTCAGAAACTAATCGACATGCAACATTTCCTTCATGATATTAAAATGGTAGCATGGTGTGATTTCACAGCTGACTTTGTTATTGGAATGTACTTTTTTTGAAGAACCATCAGAACATGGATTGCAAACCTGCAGTCAAAGCTGCATGGTTACATGCAATACTCATAACCAATGTGATTCCCATGCTGAAGTAATGACAGGTGATAGGCCCCTCCACACGTTGGTAACCAGGTGAAACATCCTGCTGGAGCACTTTCAGGACAGAAGAGGTTCATGTCACTTTCCTTGTGAATTACCACCTTGTTTACTGGACCTAACACCAGCCATTTTCTTATGGTGGGGTGTACTGTGAGAAGCCTTGTACAATTCCAGACTTCAAGGATGCAACTCTATTGGAACTAGTCAGCATGCCACATGAGATACACACTGTTGCTGTAATGTCCATTGTTACATGGATGCAATGCATTCTGGACAGTGGAGGAGAAAGTTTTAAACAGTTGCCGTGATTGATCAGACATTAGGTTATAGTGGTACTTCTCATGGAAAGATGTGACAGTGTGGCATTTGCATAAACCCTTAACATCACTGTACAATTTAATTTTCCTATGCCGCACCATTTGTAAGGGGTGTTGCAAAATAAATCACAATTTTTCCCCGAGAGCATAACAAAGTAAAATAAGATTTTAATTCCATCAAAAAAAAAGTAATTCCAAGTACCAATATCGCTTGATTGAGCCACCATTGTTCTCATGCACGAGTTTTAATCGATCTGTTTTTGTGACTGTCTCTGTGAGCACATCAGCGAGAACACAAATCAAGGTTTCACGTTTGTGTCTCTTGCATTCAGGCAAAGTTTCCAACATTTCTTCTGTGCAATGTTGAACAAAAGCTCTGACTTGAATTCTCGGAACATGTCTGTGACTAGTTTCTGAGCCATCCTGAATGCAACACATGCAACACGAACCTGAGTTCTAGTGAGCACCATGATTCAAAAGTTCTCACAAAAAATGAAATTCGAAAAGTTAAACACCTAAGAGTATGTTGAAATAATGTTTTCTCACGAGTGAAGATATTCACGGTCCTACCAAGTTCATCATTACTTCAAGGGGAAAAAGTGTGATTTATTTTGCAACACCCCATTAAGATATAATGTGTTAAATACAAACTTTTTTTATAAACACCCTGTATTTAAAGTATGCACAAAGTTGCTTAATTCCCTCTCTAACCTTTCTTAACACAACAATATCTTGTCTCTTATCAAGAGGTTCAGTACATAAGGTAATTGTACCATTGTAACTGCTTAATGAAAAAAGAAAAGAACAAAATCAGAAATACTATATTTGCTAATGATATATATATCCTCATGCTAGAAGTAGTCAGATAACAAATAAACACTTACAGATAAAATCAATATTACAAATTTTCTAAGTTTTCGAAGTCTGATGGATACCACTGTGTACTTGATAATTGCTCTTTTTTTTTTATCTAAGATAGTTACTCAGAAAAATACACTTGAATTTACCAAATTTGTTTGTTTTAAAACAAACTAAATAATGACATCTGGAAGGGATAACATCTAAATACATTAAAATACATTGTACAAACTATAATAATAATAATAATAATAACTGTGTCTAAAACCAGTTCCAGTCATCAAAATTGCAAGAAAAACAGTTTTTCACATTATTTTACTACAATTTTGAGCTATTGCTCACCAAAGCTACTCATACACCCCAAAAAGAAACCCATGACTTTAACTGCTATAGATTTTTACTACAAAAAACAACTCTCAATAAAGAAAACTGATCAATAAATAAAAATTTTATGTGGACTTTCCAGTTTTCACCACTTGAATCTCTTAGGTATGCTTTTTAACAAAAGAACTGTATTGAATCTCTTAGGTATGCGTTTTAACAAAAGAACTGTACCAAAATAAATCATATTGTAATTTGTTTGGAGTCAAACCATCAGACTTACTAGACTATATCTACTTAAGACAAATTAGCAGATCAAGATATACACATGCACATATATCAGAAACAGGGATGAGTTAATATAAAATCTGTTGATTACTAATTAATCAGTTGCCACTAATCAATCATTCTTTTAAACTTTTCTGACTATAACCTAATTCCTTTATCAACAGTCCTTAAAATCAGTTATGATGAAGCTATAAACACGACAACATACTCGCATCGATGAAGCTATAGCCACGATAACATACTCGCCTCAATGAAGCTATAGACATGACAACATATTTGCCTCGATGAAGCTATAGACACCACAACATATTCGCCTTGATGAAGCTATAGATATGACAACATATTGGCCTCTGATTCTGTAAATTCTGCTCAGCCTATAGGCCTAACAAGTTGGTGATTTTGACATTCTTATTGGCATAATAATTATGAGAAAAAGTAACAGTGATAATGCTCAATCTGTTCTGAAATATCACAGGAATGAGTTTCAATTCTTGGTTGGATATAATGCTTTTGGATTGCTATGCTTTCTCTTTCTAGCCTTTTACAGAACAACAATTACTGTTTCAAAGCTCTGACTATAATATGCATTTGTATTACAGTGCAGTGCTACAATCAGTTACAGGAATGAAGGCATATTGAGTTGCATTACTATGCAGTGCTACAATTAGTTACAGGAATTAAAGCATGTTCAGTTGCATTACTATGAAGTGCTATAATTAATTATAGGGATGAAGGAGTTGCATTGGATCTTGAAAGTTAACTGTCAAATGCTATGCATAAAAAGTAAGCCAGAAAGATAGAGACATTTTTTGAATGCTCTGAAAGAATAGTTATATGATTAACAATTGACCAATGAGGCTTTGGAGATTGTCCCAGCTTACAATGTTTGTTGTTGTTGAATGAAACTGAATAAATTACAATACATATGCATCACTATATATCTAAGAGCATAAAGGTATCAATACAAATTAAGATTTTAATATTTTATTAATGTTGATAAAGCCACTCAAGTAAATAAGCTTAAAAACTGTAGTGGTTAATTTTAGAAAAACAAAAACAAAATCACAATTTGTAAGATACTGACAAATGAAACAATAATCAAAAATAAAGATAAAAATTTTGGTCATCAAAGACTTAAAATTCCTAATTTTTATTAATAATTTAGTAGATTATTTAGATAATATTAGCTGATTTCAATTAATTGTTTTATAGCTGACAAACCAATTACCATTTATTCAGCTAATTAATCAATACATGCTATGTAAGAGAGACATTTATACAAAAGAAGACTTGGATTGGTGAGAAATAATTGGAAAGTGATGGCCCTTTTAAGCTATCCTTTGACTCAAACGTTATAATTTTCCTATACTGAAAATGTATTTCTGACAGATACTTACTTCCACTCACATACATAGTTATTATCATTCAGTGCTGCCCTCTATTTGCAAACTATCATGTGACAAGCCTCCACCAATAGAACGGCCACATACCCACATGACTCCCTCTATGCTATTCTATCTAACTATCACTTTGAGTTTAGGCAGAAACTTAAGCACCAGTTGACGTTGAGGAGGAAGGGTGGGAAGTATGAGTGGAAGTAAGTACCTATCGGAAATACATTTTCAGTATAAGAAAAATTATAACTTCTGACAAGGTACCTTACTTTTGCTCACATACATAGCTAGAATCCCACATTGAATAGATGGAGGGACCAGTACAAGGGAGAAAGTAAAATCATCCTTTGAAAGCATCTGAAGGACACCTTAACCAGGGAACCCTCTAAGAGGATTATACGTGGGAGACCACACTATTTCTGTACCAGGTATACTCTTCATTCAGACACAGAAATAATCTGGCAGATCTGGGTGGAAAATGGTGATGAGCACACCCCAGTGGGAAAGAACACAGGTTGGAGAGTGATTCAAACCACAATATATAATAATTTCAATCTTCCTTATGAATGGAATTTAGGTAAATTAAGGGATGTGCCCTAAGATGTAGAGTTACTAGGGCACAATGGATTGTACATGGTAAGTCAACTGCATTCAAAACTCAACTGCCGGGTACTACCATTCATGTGGGGGTAGGAAAGAGGACCATACCATTTTCACCTCAAGTTCAGCTGACAGAAGGGAGAAATCCCACCAGCAATCTGTAAACAGGGCACATTTGAACAGCAGAGTGATGCATCATATATAGACATATATTGAACCAGAAATCCAATCTCCGTATGACCAGAAGCAAGAAAGATGTCCATGTAATGTGCCATGTACCACTCAAACAGACAGGAGCCACCCCATATGTAGTAACATCCTTGGCATAAAGACATCAAGGGGTAGTGTAAGAGGAAGAAGCAAAGTAACCAATAAGTGCACCCATCATGAACCACAACAACGGGTTAATGCACTTGAGGTGAACTGAGTGAGGGACCAGGGATATCTTAAACACATGAGTGAGGACTTGTGTTGATTGGTTCAGCTTTAAACCAAAAATTCAACTGCCATTCAACATCCATGCTGGGATAGGATGAAGGATCCCAATCATCACAGCATGAGTGTGATATTGATTGATTCAGCTCTAAATAAAAAACGTAACTGCCAGGAACTGATTTCCATACAGGGTAGGGTGAGGGATCTCAATCATTATGACAGTTCACTCCAAAGCAACTTCCTTCCATCAATTAAACAGAGATGGAGTGTCTGCAAGAATGTTGTTCACACTGGAGACAGTGCAATGGATGACCACAAAACTCTATTTTGAAAACCAAACCCGAGTTAGTCAATCTAAAGTATGGTAGAGATGGGCAGCAATCCTCTTCTTTACCCATGAAGTGGATGGGTTAGTATGATTTGGAATGGGCACATTTATGAAGGAAATATATTGGAAGGAATAACCTATGAGCAATCTTGGGCAACGCCCCATCTCTAGTTTATGTAAGAGATTGAAGTATACCTGGATAGGCATCACTCACCACAGGTCAGGATTCTTGTTGAAAAATAACAAAAGAAAGAAAACTTATCCAGTTACCATCTCACCAAAGTCTGAAGAATAGCAACATGTGGGAAATGATAACCTGATGAAGAAGAAACAGCAACATGATGCAGATAGTGAGAGGTGAAAGTATGCAGAGTGGTCCACATACCTGCTTGAAGAATTTCCTTCAAAGAATGATAGAGATGAGACATGAGGGAAAAAGTAAGAGACCTAATCTGATGGGAAGACACCTGGAACAAATTCCAGGAAAAAGGAGACAAGGAAGAATAAGCCAATCAAATCAAATCAAAAACCAAACCCTATTTGTAATGGTGGAAGGAGAGAGATCACAAATATAGTACAGTTACCAAGGAATGAAAAAGTGGGAATGGTTATTAGGGAAGGAAACCATGCGAGCAATATAACAACAAAGAGCACAAATGGGACACAGAAGTCTATCCAGATCAGGAATAGAGGTGCTAAATGGAAAGAATGGAAATTGGTAAGAAGGAAGAATTACCCTCCCATGCCACCAAAGTTTTGGAAAGATACAGAGTTCGTGAAACGCTGATGGAAAACAAATCTGACTGAAAACATCCATAGGCTAAAAAGAAGGAAATATGCCATAAGGAATAAATGAAACATAGAACAAGATAACAAAGGTTCATGTGGAGATAAAGTAAGGCAGTGCAGCACTTCATTGACCTCCCAATCTGGAAGAACTGCATGCCTTAGAGGTCGACTAATACCAGAAGGAATGCAACAATAGCAATAAGGTCAAAAGATAAAAACTTTACAGTACTGAGAAAACAAAAAGTAGTGGGATAAGGCAGCTTGATAACCTACGATTGAAGATAAATAACTAAGTGAGTTATAATAATATGTAATAATATAACAGGAACAGTGGGACAAGCAGGGGAAACCCCCAACCCAAAGACTAATGCTGTAACAAACTGAATCTCCACGCCAAGGACCAAATAAAAACCATGCATGAAGATGAAGGGGAAGAAGTGTTGGATGAACTACCCATGACCGAGGTTACTGTGGAAAGGATGGAGTTATGAGAAGAGGCAATGATGGAGCAGATTGGATCTGGAGCAGCCCTAGAAACCACAGCTGGGCCAGCTAGTAAGAAGCAATCAGAAGGACCTGACACAGAGTGCTGTGGATGATAGAATCACCCTGGAAAGGAGTCATGTAGGAGGATACACATAAAGAAATTATTTTGTTCAATCTTGACTGAATACATCAACAGCCAGTGCAAGTGGATGAGGTACCGGAGACCAAACGCAAGGTAACTTGGTATTGAGGATTTTGGCAAATGCCTACATGTCCGGAGTACCCAACCAATTGCATAACCACAGGAAAACTTGAGGAACTAGAGACCACTCTGTTGGATAAATTTTGTCCAGGCAGGAAAGATGATCAACAGCAAGGTTGAAAGCACACGGTATATGACATGCAATGAGATGAATACCATATGTGTGGGCCCAAAAAAGGAGGACCAACATTTGACCATAAAGGGAACGAGAACGGGTGCCTTCCTAGTCATAGATACACATCACCACAGTAGGATTGACAGAATGGATCATAACCAGATGATTGCTGGCAGGATGAAGAAAATGACCCAAAACCCAATGTATGGCTAGAAGCTCCAGAATATTAATATGGTAAGAATGCACAGTCAGAGACCATTAACCTGAAACTATTTGCTGTTCGACCCATGCCCCCAGCCATGAAGAAAAGCATCTGTGGAAATATGAAAGTCTGGAAGAGGGGGAAAGAAGCAGAGCACCTGCCAATGTTTGATCCTTGTCTAGCTACCAATGCAGATCGTCTACAATAGAAGGAGGAAGGATAAATGGAACATCCAAGGCACAGCAAATTCAGGTGGAGGAAAAAGGCTGTCAAATACTTTGTTGTCCTGAAAATGGACAACTTCAGGAGAGAAATGTTGGTTCAACTAATGATCAATCTCTTGACAAATAATTGCTGATAATTCCATAGTTGAAGTCCCCCCCCCCACCTTAAGCCTGTGTAAATGTGTTGGCAGAAGGTGTAACCTCCAAATTGTTAACTTGAATAACGAAACACAACTGTGTTAGTAAAAAAGGAATAAAAAAATATTAAAAAGCTTGTAATTAATGACTAATTCCCTAACTGGGTAGAAATAGAAAATAATTCTGGTATAAGTTCAAATTAGTACCATTGGACAATAAATAGTAAACTTGATAAGAGTAAATCAATACATAGATTCAAAAACCTTGAAGAGAGCACAAACTAAATGTCCAAACATGAGCACTGTCAAGAAATGATAGTTAGGTAGAATAGCATAGAGGGAGTCACATGGGTATGTGGCACTTCTATTGGTGGAGGTTTGTCACATGATAGTTTGCATGTGAATCAAGGAGTGTGTGGGAGTGAAAGGTTTGTGGCATGCAAAAAACTGTGCAAATAGAGGGCAGCTGAATGAGAATAGCTATGCATGTGAGTGAAAGTTAGGTATCTTGTTGGAAATTACTTTATGGATAGTTGCTGGGTTGCAAAATATCTCAACAGTAACTTTGATTGAATAAAAATATCTCTGAGTACATAATTTTCAGAATTTCACACAATTAAAGGCTATATGTGCAGAGCCATCTCTAATTTTGGACTGACAGATGAGAGGAATAGCAGTCAACCAACACAGCCCACCTCCAACACTTGGACTATTCTTGCCCAACTGAATAGTAGGACTTGACCTACATTCCTGTAGCACACCCATGGCCACAATGTGCAGATTGCATTTTTCTGGTAACATACTGTGAAAAACATGAGTCCTAGAATTCCTAGTACAGGCATGCTACCATTAGGCCATCTCTGGCTCCTTACTTTAAGGATTCATTTAGAAATGTACTAATATATCTGATGACAGACTATCAAAGTAAAATTATCTAGCTCTGGAAAGATAACTTTCAAGAAATACAAATAGAAATTTAGTTGGACAAATATACTTACTTAAAAATATGTTACTTAAACTCGCATTGTCTTCTAAGGTAATTTTGTTAGGTCAACAGTATGAATCTTTCTTAATTTCACTAAATGAAAATCCACAGATTCTTAAGCCATAAAAAAAGCTAACACCTACTGTACCTTTGGAAGTGACTCTGGTATCATTCCTTTTGGATGGGGTAGTCCTCCTGTAAGGGTAAAAATAATCTTTACCCTTTTTTAAGCATCATTTTCAAGTGGTTAAACTTTACTTTTGAATAATAATTACTAATTTAAAACTATTAATACATGATTATATTTTGTAAGTAAAAGTAATTTATGCTGTAACAAAAATATATTTAATTATTAACACTAATAGTTCTGTTGAATATTTCTACAATATATATAAAATTAACATTTTAAATAATGTTTACTGCAAATTTGCAGCTTTTATTACATTGTGAAGGAGGTGTTCTTGTGACTATTATTTTTCTCTTAGTGTTAAATGTTTTCCAAACACCATAACTGTTTTAAGTATGCCAGAAATGTTCCTGTAGAGACAAACTGAGAAACAGTACTTACTTGAACAGTGTGTTAAAACAGTTATCACTATAGACCAATCTCGCTGCACAGGATTTCACAAGCACCAAATTTAGTTCTTGCTACTTTATCCCCACAAAAATCATACACACACATTAACTTGACACCATAGAATGTATACAGATATATGTAAAATGCACAATTTCTCTTAGTATCACCTTCTATATGCTAAAATACATTACTTTTTCCATAAAAAGCAAAACAAAAACTGTATACTAAAAATCTTGAAGAGAATGCGGTTTTTTTCTTGTAAAGGAACAGAGATTACTTATTTCATTCAAGGATATTAGTTATAAATTCTAACTAAAAGTGAGAAAGATGCTGATAGTTGATCAGTTTTCTTGTAACTGAGAGCTACAAAAGAACATTTTAATTATTTAAAAGGTAATTAAATATTGATTATTTTGAGCAATTGTTTAATATCAACTCTAACCGAGCAGGAAATTAGCATATATTTTGACATAATTCTTGAATTCTGAAAATCATTTCTCTGAAAAAATCCTGAAATGTAACCATTTCCTATGTATAAAATGGCTCATTTAGAACTGTATGTTACTATAAAGATAATAGTTAATACATTGAATACTTGTAAATATAATGAGGACGATAGAGAAAAAAATCAATTTCTTTTAAGTTCTCATGAAAAACGTCAAGTACAATGTACTGTGTAATTCTAATTACATAAGGCACCATATGTACATGAACTCATATATATGAGACAATTACAGTAACTATAAGATGAGGTTCTTTTCAAGCTGAAGTTATATTTATACATGTTCATGCCTAGCTAAAAGAATAAAATATACAGCCATACTTCATATTTATGTAAAACCTAAAAACAGTACTGATGAATGAAAACAGCTAAAAGTAAATGACAGACATAGACATTACATTCCCAGCAAAATTAAAATAAAATCTTGTGATATTACTTGCACCTTAGTTAAATCAAAATTGGCTTATATTTATTTTCACTGTATCTTCAAATATATTTACATTAAACATAAAAAAATGAAACTCTGATACTGATTACATGTTTGCTCTAAAGATGTGAGTGTCATCAAGAAACCAACCAAAAACTCATCATTTTTAGGTTTGGAGAATATTTTGTTTCTGGTTTACTTGGTGTGGCATTGTTATCTGACTATGTTCATGATAAAGGTTCCAGAACAACAATACTTAAGAATGAAAAGACTTTGTGTTTGTAACATGTTGCATTTTGAAAAACTATGATTTACAATGAAAGTTCTGGCTTGGACACATTTCATAAACTTCTTATCTATTTTATACGTACCAAGCTAGTATACTACGGCCATCAGAGCTGAATAAGTGGCAAAATTAATTATAGTATTACTATAAATCTATTCAGTTAAGTGGATGTATGCAATTTAGGCAGTTGTATTTTGTTAATTTACTTTACATGTAAGGCTTCTGTGTGATTGTGTTGATAGCTATGGAAAAAGATGAGGTGTATTACTGACCTGTGACTGCCAAGAAGTGTAGTGTTATAGCCTTACTGCAACTGATTTTTGACCAAGTGACCTGTCTGACTAAGTCTATTTAATAATATTTTCGCTTTCTAGATGTGAATCACATTAGAGAAATCCCAAATATTGTCCAAATACTTGTACTGGTGTCCAATGAGAAATTTGAAAGTTATCATTTTCTTAAATCGAAAATGTATTTCCAATAATACTTATCTCTTTTCAAACTAAAGTTATTACTTGACTGTTAGGGTTTCCTTCCTTTGCCCATCTAAGCATTGGTCTGAATTCTTTTTGCTTGGTCCAGTCTTTTATTCCCCACTTAACTACCCTTCCCAATATCTGTCTCGTGACATTCTCCACCTACATCAATGTGTTCTCTGTTCTGGTACTGTATATAAGCACCTCATTCAGATAATATTATAACTTTTTCTAGACTGGCTCAATCTGCAGTCTTTAACACTGGCTCTTAGTGGGGAGAAAGGGGTGGGAGAGTGTGAAGGCAGCTAAGTATCACTGGAAATACATTCTCGATTTAAGAAAATGTTAACTTCCAAAACATACTTACCTCCTCTCACACTACAGCTAGAATCCCACATTGATATGTTGGAGGGACCGGTGATGGCATTATCCATAGAGAATGCATCTGCATAGGTCATAGGCATGCCAATAGAAGATTAGAACCCTAGTGGGGAACCGCACTACATCCAGGACAGGTATGCTCTACACCTGGAATCTAATTCATGCATTGCAAATGGAATTTTTACATGAGCCATCATCACTATTGGCCAGGACCCAACCAGACAGCTGAAGTTCCACTACATAGGGTTGGAATTAAAGGGCCATGATCCCTAAATCCCACATTGGTGGCTAGGGCATTTGGACCAGAAGATATTTATACATGTGAGCGGATCTCAACCTCTAGCTATAGAGTGATGCAATCACGACAAGAAGGTAAGCAACAGTGAAGTGGACACCTCTACTTAACCAGAAGAAGTTCAAAAGGCAGCATCCCAAACTCGGAATGACAGGATCCTGGATGCCATACTCAACCTAAAAAACAGAACTCATCCGATCTGGAATTATGAACACTCATCTTCATTCCATAACCATGTGGGCAAGATAAATTCCACTTATCCCCAGAATTATGGAGAGGATGTGGTAAAAACTGTGCTGAACCAAGGACCCGGGAGGGGATCGCTCTGCATTTGGAATTACAAGGAGACAATGGACCCTCTTCCATCAACAATGTACTGAACCAATACAGATCAAAAAGAAGGGCTAAGCTCAACCCATCAAATCTGAACCAGTATTATGAGTAGGCTCCCACATAGGCTGGTGCCTCTTCTACCAACATCTGGAAAAAAAACATCCAAGGTCCAGGATAGAAGGACCCAACTTCTCCCTCTTCTCCAACAGTGGAGGAAATTCACTCAAAAACACCTGAAGGAATACCCTCTGTCCACCATCCCAGTGTGGTAAGGACTCCCTAGCTCTACTAGAAGAATCTGGGGTGTAATATGCATTGGGGAGCCCTGAGGAACAATGCCCTGGAAACAATGTAATAGGTGAACCAAGTTCCATAAATATTTAAAAGCAAACCAACCCTAATTTATTCAATCCAATGATCGGCAAGAATGAGCAGGATTCCCTTATGCATAGTGCAGTAATACCACCCAGTCTGCCTCTATGTGGTCTTATGGAACAGCTTATTTCTACAGAGCTTGTTGCAACCTAGATAAAGTATATTGTGTTAGTGGTTGCTAGTGCGTAATTGGTTTGATAAAAGCACACCTACCTGAGCAACACTTGCCAAAGAGTAGGATCCTGTGAAAAAGAGGTAAGGGACCCTGGAAAATAAATAAGAGACAATATTAGTAATGAAGATGCTCACACCTCCTTATAATCTAGGGGATGTGGTTAAGATAGCTAATGGGGGTGGTCAAAAACCCTCAGAGGAAGATACTGCCAGATCATGCAAGTAATGTGAGATAAAAGTATTGGAGGAGGTCCACATACCAGTCTGTGCAATTCAACCAGGCAGCTAAGGGCACAGAAATGTGATGAATCTGAAGAGACGAAACTTGCAGAAGACTCCTCACCTCCAAAGAGAGCCCAGAATAAGCAATATGAATAAATTTCCATACCAACCTCGACAAAGTAACTGGAGATAAGTCACAGGAAACTGAAAGATCACAATGGAGAAAAAGTTGTTGTCTAGCACCTCTAAAGGCATTAGTATGGGCAACATAACAATTCAAGGCCCTCACTTGACATAACAAACAATTGAGATCCGATCGATCATTGAAGTGAGAAATAGTGGTCAGATGAATTGGTGAAAAGGATTTACCCTCTTACCTGGCTGCCAATGTCTTAGAGAAAAAAACTGTCTGAGTATAGGAGAAAATAGGCAGAATGATAAAGTGTCCTGTGCACAAGCAACGCAAACAACTCTGACCAGTGACGTCTGCAGCAACAACAAAATTAAACAGCAACAAAATTAAAGCTTAAGGGAAAAGTGATACATGGTACATGAAGCTAAGTGCTCAAATAGATGTTGAGAAAAAGCATGTAATACCACCTTGATATACCAGTTAAGGACAAGCGACCTGAAGTAATTTGAGGAGGTCAGAGAGCACTGGGGACTTAAACAATATTCATCTCGAGTACCTAAAGGTAGTCAATAAGGCCACCTTATATAAGGCAACTGTGGAAGATGCAAGACCTTTGTTAAAGAGTCAGGTCAAAAAACGTCTGGATGAAGTGGGTCCAACCTCCTCTCAATACACCATTGTCGATATGTGTGCCATTTCCATTGAAAAATTTCCATCGTGGGATTATGCAAAGACTGAAACAGACACATGGCAACCTTAGAAGTTAAACCCTGATGCTATGCAAAGGACCACATAACATCCATGCATGAAGCTTGAGGCTTCAGGATGACATATTGTGTTGGAGTGACAATAGATTTTTTAGCTGTGATAATGAAGCCTGCCTTGGTTACTTCTGGAAGGAGAATCTGGGTGTCACATTCTACCAACTGATGAGATGATGCCAGCAGTAACCAGTCATCCATGAAATGGTGTGTGCACAGGTCTAGAAAATGGAGATAATGAGAAAAAGCTTGTATGATTTGGTAGAACACATATGGTGCTGATGTTAGTCCAAAGAGCAGAGCCCTGAACTGTAGCACCTGACCCTTATGCACAAAATGCAGATAGTGGTGGGATGCCACTGCTATGGAAACATGCAGATAGGAGTCAGTGACATCGAACTTGAACATCCACAATCCTGGTAAAAAATGCCAATGATTGTCTCCATTGTAAACCTTGGAATATCTAGGAATTGATGTAGACAAGAAAGATTGATGACCAAAAGCCAATCTCCTGTCTACTTGGGCACAACAAACAGACAGAAATAAAACCCTGGAAGAACTGGCATGACTGTCTCCACTGCCCTAGACCAACAAACCTCTGATAGCCCTAGAATGAAGTTTTGAAATCCGAAGCACTACAGGTTGAGTGGATAATGGTGATGAAGATGTGAATTGAATGACTAATCCTGACTCAAGGACCTGTAGTACCCATGGTAAAAGTTTTCCACACGTCCAATACAGTATACAGCATAGCACTGTGAACAAGTGTTATAATACAAGTCTATGAAGAGCATTTTCGTGTATATTATGAAGCCTTAACATAGCCAGATACCTGCTCATGCTGTAATAAATCATACATGTCTGTGATTTTGGTTATCTTCACTAAAGTGTGCTAGGATGTGTATTAAAATTAATAATTTTTGGAAAATATGTATATTTTTTTCCATAATTATTCATTTTAACAAATGTAAGCAAAACTGTAACACTGAGAAAAGATATGGGGAAATAAGTTTGGTTTCATTACAAAGGTTTGTAGTATTGCCATATTATCTGTATCATATAACTGTGATAAGGTTACAATGATCAAAAGATTCAATACCATCAACTATCTAACTAGATCTTCAAATAAAAGGAAAACTGCTGATGTTTGCCTTTAAATCTCTAACATCAGGTAGGATCCAAGGTAGGTCATTTTGAGACTTTGTAATCATGAAACTATAAATATTGTAACTTTTAATGTAGTACATGTACCTTCATGAAATTTGGCAAGCTATTAATAAACACTATAATTCTGTCGCACACAAAATATCAGACTTTTTACTAAAATATTTTTGCAAAAAATTTCTCTATGAACTTATGAAGCCTTTAGTGAGTCAGTTCAAGTGCAAGGTGATTTTCATGCTACAAATAAAAATACTTCTTTTTATCTTTAAGTTTCATAATTCATTTACACAACTCCCAGAACTTCTTAACTAATTATAAAAAACTTTTTTCAATAAAACTCTATATTTCATTTGTTATTTTCTCTACCCTAACACTAATTGTATTGGCCTTAGTCAATTTGACCAACCTCGTAACTACCACATAATAAAAAGATATAAAATATCTAAATTATGTGTTTTTCTTTTTAGAATAGCTACACATTGTAGCAGACAATTACACACTATCTACTTTTAGAGTCAAAGCTAATAGATTTTTCATGTAGTTTTATTTCTTTACATTTGCACTCAGACTCTCTCTGATTACAATGATAGCTCTATGTAAAAAAAAAAGAATTAAATTACAAGAATACACTTGTTGAATTACACATCACGCTCACACTGAGTATGTGATACATGAATATTTTGTTTAAGTTTTCTTAGCTAACTTAATATGTTCCTAATTTTTAAACTTTAGTTACTTTCATAACAATAAAAAATACAGATAGGAAACAAGAAATTTAGTACTTTCATCTGAAAGCTATTGTACTCATACGATAGAAATCTACTTCAAAATCTAGGCCTAAATCTTAGTAATGATAGTGTGGCCTCAGAGATTATTTTTCTTAAATTCCAATATGCAAAACAAAATATTGCCATTAATATAAAAAAAGAATGTTCTAAAAGTAACATAATTTACCTGACTTTCTAACTAAGCTATAAGATGGTTAAATAATTCACATACTTGATCAAACAGAATTTCAAGACTGGCAAAAGAAGACAATGATGGAAAAATATTCAAAAATGGTTATCCAAAGATCTAGCCTTATCGCTTTAAGTAAATTGAAATCTTCTCTTTATATTGGTTAAAAATAATCCAACAGCAAATGGCACAGAGAATTACTGACATTTTTTGAAAAACATGATGTGTTAGGAGTTTCACTTTTATTGCCTATATCTCGGTAAAGCAAGAAGTCTGAAAGCTAAAATTTGACATTTCAGCTCAGTACAAAAAGTTAGGAGATCATACAGGCGTAGAAGAAAATCTAAAATGAGCAATTCGGAGCAAAGTGTAATGTGGTACAAAGAAATAAAGACTGAGAATTTATTTAAATATTTCCTTTTGAAATTAAGAAATTGAAACTTATATAATATTAAAATTTGAGTCATCAACTATGTTTTGAGTTTTGATTCCATGTTTACTGATATTTAAAATTTTGAATGCAACTCTGTAAAAATATAGTAACATGCACACTTTGACACACCCATGATGAAATGGTTAATATGTGTTTAGTTATAGGCTTCAAGATAAGCATGTTCTTCGTGGAAATCACTGTCACAACATCCACTTGGATTTAAACCTCAAACAGTTTAGTTTTTAAAATATTATCTATTAGTAAAGAGGTTGTGTAAGCTAAAAGTCTTAAACTGAGCCTTTATTAATTACCATATCCATGTTGCTTAGAAAAGCTAAAAGTAAAAGCTATTGAACTTTTAAACTTAAAGCACTTCATCAAACTCACCCCAATTTTGTAGTCGTCTATGTGCTAAGTTAGTCCATTTAGGCTTAGGTGCTTCATAGACACAATCAATCAAGTATTTCTCCTCCTCTGCAGTGATGAAATTTGGTAGGTAGTATACTGTTGGAGGTACCTATATGTATATAATTACTTGACAACACTATCAAATACAGTGTCAATGACTCAAACCTAAGTCTATAAATATTATTCAATGTAAATTGGCTAACAGTATGTTAATAGTGGTTAATCATCATCCATATTTTAAAAAAAAATACAAGGTATTCAAATTCGATGACAAGTAACCCACATTGAGACTAATAATGGCTGGAGACGGCTTGAATGGGTAATGAAGAAAATCTTTAACATAAGTTTAACAGCAAATGTACAACGTTTCGACGTACCTGATGATGACAAAACCTTGTCGAAACGTTGTTTAACATTTGCTGTTATGTTAAACTTATATTAAAGCTTTTCTTCATTACCCATTCAAGCCATCTCCAGCCATTATAAATACAAGGTATCTTCATGTGTAGTAAATTTGGTACATATAGTGTCAATCATATGCATTTCAGGAAACAGAATTTAAACAATTTCACTATTAAACAAGTTATTTCTTTAAAACACACAAAATAAGCTATGACTGATCACGTCTTAAAATAAGGTGACCGTTGATCACATGTACATGTTGATTTTCTATATTTCCCCACATGAACAACAATTCTGAAAATGCTCAAGTAGTCTATATACATGACATTAAAGAGAATGTCTCTTTATGATGGAAACTTTACTGAGTACATAGTTCCATAAGCACACCAATAACTAGTAGAAAAATCCTTTGTTGTCACATATAAATAAGTTTATACAATATTAAAGAAAAAGAACAAATAGCAACATACTGCATTAAAATTCAATACAAATTTCATAACTCTGACCCAAAAAGACCACTTATCTTAGGTATCATCACAAAAAATAATGAAATGTTACTTGATTATTAATATCATCAAAAATTCTCAAAAAGAGTATCAGAATACAATTACATATTTATTATTTGAAAAATTCCATACAAGTATATACACATATATGTTTAATATAATTTTTGCAGTTCCAGAAAGTAGTTTGAAATGTTTCATGAGAATCATTTTAAAGAGTGGAAGTATACACTTATATTCTTATGCAAAAGTAAAAACAGCCAAACTATAATGAACAGTATTACATATAAAAGTAGTAGTACCAGTTTCGGGAAGGGACAAATTTTGAAATAGTGCCATGTCAGAATGGTATTCAGTTTCTCATACCTCCCTCTCCAAATGTCAGCCTCAAATTTTTTTCAAAGATTAAATTAAGAAAAAGACAATAATGTGAAACTTAGTCATTTGTGATTTAAATATACTTCAAAATTTTATTATGCAGTACAAAATGCTGCTAAACAATGAAAAAAAAAGTTTATCTTTATACTTTAAAAGACAATAAAGTTTTTTGTCAGAAAGAAGGCAGAAACCCATTTTATTATAAATGTCCAAACATCATTCTGAAGTTTTCTGGCACTGGTTCAAACTTTGACTCTTCCCTTAGATTTTTACTTATTCATAAAGTTGTTGATCTTTCCGAGATTTAACCTAAAACTTTAAAGAAACTGAGGAAACAAAACAGTAAGGGCTTTAACTGCTATTTTAGGAATTGCTGAACACTTCATACATTATATTCTACCAAGCAGTCAATTTATTTACCCACTTCTTACCGTTTCCACCAATCTCATAAGCAATCAACTGCATTACTAATTTATCTCATTTTGTGGCAACTATAAAAAAATTAAAATGCTTACTGAAAGTCAAATCACACATCATTTGGGGTATCTTCCACAGTAAAAGTGGAAGCTTTAAAAAAAAAATGTAACAAACTAGGAAGACAAAAAACCCATAAAGATGACTGTCAATTAAAGACAAACTTTTCATAATCTCTTGCAAATGTTATTTTACAAGAGATCTTAACATCTTGCTAATAACAAAAGTAAACTTAATAGGTGTCTAAAGATTAGTGAATCCTCCTTCAACCCCCTTTTTTAAAAAAAAAAGAAATATCACACTGGCACTCTTAAAATCAAAGGGAATTTACCTGTATTAAAAGTCATTTGAAACAAAAAAGAAAATGAAAAGTATAACTATCTATTTACTAATTTCTACATGGATTTAAGACAGATCTTGTGAGGGTTAGATGTATTCCAATCTTTTCTAAAATGCTTCCTCCTATTTAATAAATTATTTCTTCTTCTCCTTTATTAGTGAACACAATAAAAAATTAGTAAAACATTCAGCTACACCTTATTCCTTAACAAAAATGCTCCTTTTAAAACTCTCTCCACAGATCGTTCAGCATTATCTTTGACCTTTTCTCAAGCATACTGTGGAAACCTTTCATGTCAAGTTTGATGTTTTTAGCTAAGAGACTCTCATAATCTCTCTTAACCTAAAAAAATATCTTCTTTGAATTACTTTATATTTATTATTATAAATCTCAGCTTCCTCAATTGCTTTACCAGTAAGTTGGCATTTTTTATATATTATTATATCAATATTTAGTCATTTACAAATGGGCTTTTTGATTGGAAAGAATATATTACTTTTCAGCTAGTTTGACTTAACTAATAAAAACAGACTACACTTCTTATCTTTAACTTAATCCACTATTATTTTGAAGTTTATGAAAGCAGGCTTTGCTAAAATTTGAAATAAGAAATGCATGGAAGTGCAATTTTCTGCATATTATTTATTAAATATTTGTTTTTATGTTTTGATGTCATGTATATTCCTGAAATTTTGTGTTTTATAATTTACCTAAAGTAATTCAAATTTAAGTTAAAGTAATTTTCTTAAACCTAACAACCTGGATAATCTGTTAATGTTAAACTGCAAGTTGCATTTAAAATTTACAAGATCACCTCTTATCTTTCTTTTCTCAAGAGAAAATATGTTAAAAGTTGCTAAACTATCTCCATATTACAACATTTCCATTTCCCAAATAATCCTTTGTAGCCTTCTCTGAACCCTTTCCAACAAGTCAATATCCTTTAGAATCACCTAACACTGTAACTTATAAGTGTAACACTAAGTAATACTAGGCCTAGTTTATGTTATACAACTTACCTTCTTAACTATGTTGCTTTCCATTTCTAATATAACTTTAAACTAAAGTTCAGTTTCATTCACATACGCCAAATAAAAAAAACTACCGGTCACATAAAAAATATAGGATAATATGACCTATTGTATTAACGTTGCTAGTATACCAGTCACAATCGACTTTTCTAATGTTTACCTCACTTTAGCGTGTTATTTGTCAAGTACTAAGCTTCACCAAGCAAATGAAACACTGCAACATGAGTGCGATATATTACTCAGGTGTAATGTATGTTTCCATGTTCTGAACGCGCCAAACAAGTTTCGTACAAAATAAAACAGTTAGCTTTTCGGTAGTTTGCGTGATAAAACAACCATATTAAAAGTATTAATATTTAACATGTATCTTATACATTCATTTAACAAAGTTGATTTTTGTTGTTGTTGTTTTTTTATTGTCAACATGTCAACGTTACTAGGTACATAAAAGATTCGGGGCTCAGGTCTGTAGGCACGGGAATTTTCAACGTTTCATATGATATCGATTGTGGTCTTCTATTCTGATTTTCAAGACATCAATTGGAGATTCGGGACACTGACAAATAGAATCTGTGTGCCAGCGCCTAGCGACACCTCTTTAGAGCCTTAACTAAAGCAGGAAAAATCATGCAGCAGCCCTAGGCGCAAAGGGATGAGAGGCAAAATAACCAAAATCACTAGAGGGCGCATATATGATGGCTTGTTCTGGGCGCTAAATCGCCTAGTTACAGCTATGCAATGTCTTCCGATGGGACAACGGCATGTCTCCAGAATTACAACACTAAATCCTGGGGTCGATTCTCGTAGAGGACACAACATAAAATCATACCTTACCAATCTATTAACATTCTCTGAAGCAGTCGCTGCTTATGTTACAAATTTCAAAAAAGCAAATTTTGAAGGGATGCGACAAGAATTATCTGTTGTGAGTTGGGCAGCTGAGTTATTTGGAAACACTGATCAGATGAAGTCAACTTTTAAGGATAATTTTTTTTAATATTCAAGGTAAACATATTCCTTATATAAAAAAGGGTAGCTGCAAGTAAGAAACCAGGTTGGCTCACATAGAGTTTAAGAGATAAAATTAAAGAAAAGCATAATAAATTTAAATTGACAGGTATAACAGGAGATTTAGAAGATTATAGAAGGTCAAGAAAGTTGGTGAAACATGAAATTAGGACATCAAAAGCATTGTATGAGAAAAGACTGGCTGAAAATGTAAAAATTAAGAGTAAGGATTTATTTCAATACATTAAGGGTAAACAAAATGTTAGGATGGGGATAGGACCCTTGAGGGATGATAAAGGAAGTGTTACGTCTCCGTTTGTTAATTGATTTTCCGTAACTTCGTTCTGACGAAACTTTAGCGACACAACTCCTTACTTAATAAAACTGGTTTATTCTTTCTGAATATAACTTTACCGATACACTTATTTTCAACAGTCGCTCTATAACAAACGCTATAACAACGAACTTCAACAATACGTCTCTCTCTGACTGCAGTTTAATTACTCACTACCTACACACACATTATTTCGTCACGTTGTCACCCTCTTATATATATACCAGCCTACCCTATATCTAGTAAATGCTAGAGCATTCGCCAAGGTACAGGATAGTTCTAGAAACGTGGCGTGACACTAGTCATGTGACCTCGCTGACGCAACAGAAGGCTAGTATGTAATGATTATGAGATGGCTAGGTTATTACATTTTGCTTTTTCTTCGGTTTTTACTAATGAAGATTTAAGCAGTATTCCACATCTTGAACAGTTGATAAATGGAAACGAGATCAAACAATATGACTGCATTAATTCTGAGCTGGTTAAGAAAAAAATCGGAAGTTTAAAAAACGATATGGCTACTGGGCCAGATAATATTTCCCCATGGGTTTTGAAGGAGGTTGAAGATTGAATATGTGAGCCACTTACTGCTATATTTTTGTCAGCCCTTGAATAGTGAGTAGGTACCAGAGGATTGGAACTTAACAAATGTAACTACTATTTTCAAAGAGTAGGTGATAAAAAATTGTC